CCCATTTTTGGTGTTAGTTTTATACATCCATTTCCTCTCTCTGAGATGATCATAAATTTTCACAGTTTGTGTTTACTCTGATAAATACATGTTAAGATCAGCTGGGCTTACAAACTATCATAACAAACAGACCATCTGATATGCATGTATACTTAGACTTTATAGCACATATTGTCATATCTAATAATACTGAATCTCTCATCTCTGTCTCTATTAAGTTATTTGATGCACAATTTCAACAATTTAAGTTCATATTTTGTTCTTTTCTTTACATTTTCACAATTAAAGACACAATGGTAGTGCACTCATCATCTGGGCAAGAGCTGGTTTTCTTAGCTTAATGATTCTGGCATTCAAGTGGAAATCTTCCATGTAATGAAGAATGACGTAGGCATAATATTAAAGTTGGGTAAATAAATAAGTTATCTATGAACATATTGATTATGTCAATTAATGTCACATAAAATAATCAATTAATCACAAATAGTGTTTCTGATTACCACTGTTTTTAATTATTCCAACTGTCCAATACTAGAAATATTGTGATTATATTTATTTATTAATTAAAGTTTTTCATCTTAAATGACTAGTGCCACAACCCAAGAAAATAATTAACTAATGGAAATAAGGGCTTCAGGTTATTAATATTTTGAATTATTCCAACTGTCCAAGTAATTGAAACATTGCAATTGTTTTTATTTTGTTAACTACAAAGTGGGCTATGCCCATTGTTGGTATTGATATGTGATTTGGAGCACTATAAGTTATTTCTTTTGTTTTCTTAAGCAACTCATCTGACAATAATCAATATTCTTTGTTTGACCATCTTGTGAAAATAATTGATTAGCAAATTCCACTAATCACCCAGTTCTACGCAACACAACATTCATTTAGACTGGTTGATACACACATGCATATTTGATGGTTTGTATAACATTTAATAAATTTTCCTGATATCTTGACATGCATGTATACATTTACATTTTGTCTTCATCATCACATGTCGCCTGTCTGGATTAGTTCATTTATGATCCAAATTTGGCATTATCTGATATACGAGTATTTGTGCTTGATGAATAAGTTTTATGCTCCTTGTTGGTTAAACCTAATATTCATTTCTTTGCCTTAATTAATACTTCATATTTCAAGTTTGATAAACAAGAAGTTTCATGCTATTGGTTGGTTGAACCCGAAGTTCCTTTTCTTGCTTTATTTAATACTTCTGTTCCACTCACATTCCATTCAGAGATTCACAGCATTTAATTGAGTAGATTGGAACAAGTGTTTTAAAAATATCTTTTCTAGGATTGTCATTTTTTAATTTGAAGATGCTCTCATTTTATTATTGAAAATAAAATCATTCATATCAGTAATCTGTCATGTACTGCATACGATTCTTATAAAATGGCAGTATTACAACTTTTATTATCTTGTTCTGAAAATTACTACAAACATTATCTTCAGAACTGACAGTAAACTGAAGTCTATTACGATAGTTTACTTTTAGTATCTCTTGTTTAGGCACCATGTACAAAAGTATATAATATTATACAAGTTGCTTTTGAACACCTGACAGTGTGAATTAATGGTACAGAGAACATTGACTCTCTATTAAAACTTCCTAATTACCAAGTCATAATTACACTACCAGAAATATAACTTGACATTCATAAAAACAAAATCTATTTGGCAACTGAGGTCACCCATCAAAACTGATAGTACCTTTATATCTCAATGTAGCTATTTAACTTAACATTTAAATAAAGTAAGAAAATAGCATACACACCAAATGATTAGAATAAATTAATTTATAATTTTACAATTATCAGAGAAAACATACTGGCATAGAATAAATATGGTTCTAGGTTTCCAAAATTTAACTAATGACACCTAATATTATATCTGTATGAGTTTTGTAAACAAAAATAAAACAATTCAACAAACTATACTTCCACTTCAGTTTTATGATAAAGAACTCCATTAATTAAAAAATGTGAATTGTTACATATGAGCATCATCAAAAAAAGTTGATTTGTAATTCTGTGACAAAGCAAATGTTAATTTTTTGATTTTGGATCACATACATACACACCACTTGAGTCAAAACAGTACTTTGCTTTTACACTTGTACACACGATATCATCTTGGCCAGAGATAATTGGAAGTTGTACATTTCAAGCATTAATGTAGCACTTTAACTCTTTCCAACTTTCTGAATTATGTACCACAATATAATCTTCTTATGTTAACCGAAACTGTTTTATAAATTTTCTGTGTTCTCAATAAAAATATAGCAAGTAACTAACAATGAATATTTAAAAGGAAAATTTATTATTTTTCAACATACAAAAATTAAGCCTGATGCTTATCCAAAATGACCTATACAGAGTAAACCATGAAATTTCAATTGAATATTAAAAAACAATACTTTAAGCAGAATAAAAATAATTCATGTAAGAAATGTGATTAAAATGTTGCAGAAATGCTTTGGATTTATCCCAAAATAATCAACAGGAGAGGGTATTTACAAGCCACACCAAGATTAACTTACAATGTTGCCTGCTGTGGTGTGTCACATAAAAAATACTACCAATTCACTGATCACTACTGCTGAAACTTTTTCCAACAGTTTACAGAAACTCTTCACACCAATCATGCAAACACTGGTAACAGTCTGTAGCTTGTTTACTGTTTGCACCTGCTACGTCTTTCAACCAATCAATAAATAGTTCTCTGTTTTTCTTTAGCACGAGAAATTGCCCAAGTACTACATATGCCTGCATTTAAATAGAAGACAAAAAATAATAGTAATTAAACACATTTATAACTATATATATGTTACTATAGTTAAATGAATCAGTTAAATTTAACATTATCTTTATTAACCATGTACAAAAAAGAAAAAAAAAGTAGATTTTAGTTCTGATACAGTGCAAGTTTATCAGAGAAACTGTCCAATGACTAAATAATGAGGTATTTTTTTAAAACAATGAACATAAAACTCAGCCTATATTCTAAATATTTTCTCAGCAATAAATTGTATTATATCACCAATATAATTTTAGGCTCAAAAACTGTGTCAAATAAAAATCCTATATGTACGTGGAAACATTTTTTTAAAAAGTAGACTTAAAAATAGATTTGCTATCAATTTTAAAATATTAATTTCTACTGGAAAAACATCTTGCGGGAGTAAAGAAATAAACTATATATGTGTATTAATGTTTAATCTAAACAACTTAATGAAAATGAACATTAGTCCCACTTCTCTATAATTCATAGAGGAAAGCTTCCCAATTCTATTTAATTCAGATGAGAATTGGCTTCACAACATAATGACTAGATTGTTGTAATACTTTTTAACTTAAACATGTCCAGACATTTGTACTGTTGTCTACCCAGAAGAAAGTTAGATGTAACATGATGTGTCATGTCTGGAACTCTCTCCAATGCTTAAGAAACATACAAAAGTCAGTCAAGCTAAAGTTAGTTAATGTGAATTAACATTAATTAAAAGGTTGTCGTTACATGGGCTAGACGCTTCATCATTCTTTTTAGTGAATAACCCACTCAACACAAACTATCACAATATAACTATAATTTGTATGTACAACGTTTTTATGCTTATTAATATAATGACTCAAGTGAACATCAAATATTGATAATTGTTGTTCTTAAACAGTATTGTTGAATATAAATAACATTCTTGGAAATAACAGAATATCACATATTCATGCTCAAAATATATTAAATAGTCTAAAAATTCTGAGCTTCTTGGTTTTAAATCAATTAATGCTTGTAAAATAATGATGATTTTATTCTTTGAGAATACCTACATATATATATATATTTAGAAAACTGTCAATGCATGTAGTTATTTAAGATTACAAAACTCAGCCACCATCTCAACTGTATATTTTGTATCATATATGATTCTATGCATTACCATTTTATGAAGCATGCAGTATGTTTAAAGATATCTAAAGAAATTATTTCCCTTTTGGCTGGTATTTCATGTTTTTTTTATGTTATGTTCTGCTACAGCACTTGAAGCAGCATCACACTATTGGATGGCTAATGATTCCATTTAAGAGCAATTGTATATAAACAGACGTGTCAGCCAATAAGAGAGGAGCATGACCTTTTTCAATCATTTTAGTGAAATACCGCTCTCCTGATTAAAACATATCAGCCAATAAGGGAGGAACATGACCTTTATCAATCATTTTAGTGAAATACTGCTCTCCTGATGAAAACATATCGGCCAATAAGAGAGGAGCATGACCTTTTTCAATCATTTTAGTGAAATACCGCTCTCCTGATGAAAACATATCAGCCAATAAGGGAGGAACATGACCTTTATCAATCATTTTAGTGAAATACTGCTCTGCTGATGAAAACATATCGGCCAATAAGAGAGGAGCATGTCCTTTTTCAATCATTTTAGTGAGATACTGCTCTCCTGGTGAAGACGTAATGGCAAAACATTGAGAAAACTAAATAAAATACGTTATTTTCTTAAGTATAGTTATTTATAATTATGGAAAATGTACAACAAAAATACTTCAGTGTGCATCATCAACACTTAAATGCCATAATATAATAAATTTTTCTCAAATACACTCGACAGACAACTTTTTTTCAACCTATTTCTGAATTCATTTTGAATAAGTAATCATCATGTAAAACACACTTCTCCACTAATTTTAAGATCATATAGTAACAATTTCTTCACTCAGATAGATCTTTAAATTTTGTAAAGGTCAGCATCAGGATCCAATCTTGTGAACCATTTTCATATAATATACAATACAGTTTAAACATTATCAGTTAAAAAACTTCAATTTCAAGTAAAAGTTACAATGTGCGTGTATATATATATATATATACACATAAACATATATATTCCTTCTGTAAAACTTGGCATGTTAAATTACCTTATCAAAGCCTTTGCTGTCAAGCCTCCTCCCTAATACTTCTCCAATTCCAGCTAGATCTGTTACTGCCTTATCTCCCATAGGCTCAGAAACAAAGTTTGTGTGTTTCTGTGACGTTGATGACATCTTTGAACTAGTAAATTTGTATTTCTAAAAACAGCTATGGTTCCGCTCAGTCCGTTTCCTTTCAACGGCCTAAAAGTAAAGAAGTTTTTACATGTAGAAAATATTACCAATATTCTTTTAAATAAATAAATACTTTACTACTATTTAATTTGTTTTAACAAAACATGAAATTCACAGAACAACAAAATATGACTAATGTACTTTATTCCTGGCAGTAAGTCCATATGTTATTTGCCAAAATCAAATCCTGTCTAGAATTAAATATTGCAAGTTTTTTCTTCTTATGCTTCCCAGACATTTGATAATAGATTTAACACCTTCAGCAGTCAAATTAATTTCTGTAATTTCCTACATCCTCCTCTTCAAACATCAGAAGCCACATTAGAAATTTTTCCAATCATTTCAACTATCTTCAGTACACAGCAGTTTTTGAGGTACATCAACTCTTTAACCAAATGTGTAACAGATATCGGAGAAAGAATGTTGACTGTAATTCCAAATTTGCGACATGTATCTACATGAAATGAGGCAAACTTTTGGTAAGATGTACAATTCTGTGGTATGCAAAAAATCATATGTATTATAAAAGTATCCATACTGAACGTCAGTCTGACTCAGACTTTGACAAGTCAGAGTGCAAGGTGATGTTCATGCAAAGAATAAAAATATTTTTGCCAATTGCACAGTTTGCATATTGCATAACACCTAGAACCTCTGAAATGCATATCTACAGTTTTTTTCCATATCTCTGTATATAGTATCTGGTATTTACTCCCCTCTATCACAAACTATCACTGAACTATGAATGTAGAGTAAAATAAATTTTTAATAACACTGATCAAATACATAAGACCATGTTGCATGGCACTCTGTAAAAGGCCGTGGCATGTGCAATTTGACCGCTACCTGTATACAGAAAGTTAATAAATTCTTCAAAGTTCAGAAAGTAGTCATATTTCACTGTAAAACTGGGCAATTAACTTGATTAAATCTATTAATTCCTTGAAAACAATCAACTACTCAGTTAATTGTTCTAATTATTACTATTTTTGATTATTCCAACTATACAAGTAATTAATTGAAGTGCTGCTATTATAATTTATTTTATTTTTCTTAATACTAATTCAAGTTTGTTCAATTTCAGGCTGGCATGGCCCAGTGATTATGGTGGTTGCCTTGTGATTCAAAGATGGTGAGTTTGATTCCGATTGAAATCAAGTATGCTTCCCCTATCAGCCATGGAGTGTTATATTTCTTTCTTTTGGAGTTATGACCTTTCTGCTACTGCCTCTAATTTTGAACTGATGAAAGGCAACCAGTCGGTAGCACCCATTGTTCATTCTTGGGTTACTTTAGTACTAATAAGGTGCAAATATATTTTTTTCAATTGTTATGTTTCTAGCTTATAATTGCATAACTGTATTCTTTAGTGTTGAATAAGGTATAAAATTACTATTTTTACCTTGTGTTTATAATTGAAAATTTGCATAACAATATTTTTTGTGCTACACTATAAATTTACTTTTTTTCTACATTGTGTAAGTGTTGTTTGTAACATCACACCCATTACTTTCCTGAATTCATGTTCTGGTGGAAGCTGTGGCAGGAACTAGCATGTCTCAAATCCACAACTCTCTGATCAGCAGGCAAACACTTGGAAGTGGTATTCTTTTAATACATTCAGCCATCTGATAAATTACAAATGTAAATGTACTAACTGATTTTTAATAAACCCCAACAAAATTAACATAGCATTAAAAGTTGCAAGTACCAGTCAATTTATTTAGTGCAATAACAACAACAAAAAACATGTACACAATGGAACCCCATTTTGTCACACCTCACAAAACCATGAATCTGGTTATAACACGATTACAGCTTGGCTTTCAGAGTTTGGTCCATGGTTTTGCACAACTACTACTACTACTCATTCTCTTCTTCAAAAATCTTTTACATATTTTTTATATATACATTTTATTTTTTCATCCAGACTAACTGAAAACTCACACTAAAAATAATGTCCTTTCTTATCATTAACAAAAAGTTTTAATTGTTTAATAAAACAACCTAACCACATACACTAACAATAATGTATGTCAAAAGACTCTAAGCTGATGTCTCAGACATAAAATATTTTCTAGATGAAGTTTGATATTTGTTCCTGGTAAGCACATGTACTTTATAATGTACAGGACCACGAGTACCTATATATAATGGGTGAATATAAGCAGATGGTTTATTTCATATTACACCTCTTGTCATTTAAAATTGAACTGAAATATCTGGGAGAATTTTGAGCATTGTGGAATCCACATATTTCAAACAAAAAGCATTCACAGTTAAGGAAAAACTCTATGCTCTGGACCAAATAACAATAAGGATACACCAGACACACCTTGCTTGTAACCTTAAGATAAGCAAATCCACCCTACAAAGTTGGATGAGGCGAGGGATGAAAAGTTACCGATACAACATGATCCTGCCGTTAATGCAGTTGCATTTTTTGGACCCCAACTATCACATCATAGTGGGGTTCCACTGAATATATATAAAATCTATAATAATTTTGTGTGAATATGCTACAATTACAATATAGCCTTCACAACATGCAATGAGAAATAAACGTGTAGTAAAGATAACGATATACCAAACTGTCATTTTGCTGATTTAAAACAATGGTTTATCTTACATTCATGGCAGTCTTATTCTTCTCTACCTTGTGAGAAACTAGTTTAGCATTATCGCTTCCTTTAGACGCAGACATCTGTTGGCACATAACCATTAAATGTCGTATCATTACATACAAATAAGTTGTCAATCATAATTTCCATGTTTACTAAAGTTTTGTGCAATCACGTTGCCTAACCCTAAACTATGATGCAACTGTCATGTGATATTGGATGTACATTTTCAGAAAATGGTCACACTCACAGAAAAAAACAGCATCAAGCTGTTATGGCAACCAAAATAAAATTACTATCAAAATATGCAAAAAAGCCTATTGCTTTAAATTACTGGTCAGTACAATGAAACCTAGAATACAAAAGTTAACAAACTGTAAAAATTATTTTAGTTTTTACTACATTTAAGTTCTATAGGCCATATCATTTGGAAACAGACTTTGTAAAATGCTGCACTGTTAATTTTTGGTAAATAATTTTGCAAAATTTTTTATAACATACATAAATTCCCAGTATTATATTGAAAATCTAAGTTCTAATATTTCATTATTGTTCGTTTGATTTTGTAAGTTATTTCAACTTCATTACGTAATTGTTAACAATCTATTGTTACAGCCCCCTAATTCATATACTTTTATGGGTTCACCATTATTAAAATCTTATATGCATGTACAAAAAAATATTCGGTTTACCATTGCCTATATAGTATATTGACTCTAGGCTTTAGTATACTATAACTAAGGCCTTGTTCGTCCGAAAGTAGGTAACATAGCTTCAGCATTCAATACTCATGTTCACTAGCACCTAACTATACGAACACAAGGAGTAGTTAGGCCTAACCGTTGATGTACGTTACTCTTTCACCCAATTATTATCTTTGTTTGTATCGGTTAAATTTAACGTTAGGCCTAATATAAAATTCTAGGACAGGAAATAGAAACAAATACTTAAGTGATAACATTACTAACGATAAATTAAAGTAATATAGAGTTAAATTTAATCATATATGTTAGTATATTAAAATTTGTTAACATTACCAAAGTATTAATTTAGTCTTGTTCAATGTTTAAACAACTCTACACGCATTAAAATTTGAAAACTTAGAAACACCACCAATTACCTTCCTTTACTGCTTTAGTCAGAATTTCTGACGTTCACTTTATTATTCATCCAAAAATATAAAATTAAGGTAACGTTGACACAAAAACAAAAATAAAATACAAAAAAATCACTGAATTCATGGGTTCCCTTTTATTTATTTATTATTTTTATATGATGAATTATACTGAATTTAACTATACTGAATTTAAACATTTTGTTTGTTTCTTTCGCGTTCCTCCTATTCACAATAACAGCGAATATTTTCTAGTCTATTTACTCAACGGTTATAACCGAAAGAAATTAAATATATATATAAGTTTTTAAGCGTCTGAACTTTAAACACAACGCAACATAAAAATTATTCTTGAAAATTTAACAAAAATTACATCTATATATTATAGTTATAAACACTGTTAATATATACACAGTATTAGTTTCATCATTAATATTAACATATCAATTAATACAACAACACGAAACTATATTTTAACAAACAAAAGGTATGTACTAGAAGCACGGTAATAATAAAAAAACCTATCAAAAACAAAGCCATTTCGGAATTTTTTCAATTTCCATCATCAATGTTAAAACCCCGAAAGGTTAATTGACAACATTCTAACTATAATGGTTAGAGACAGCTTGAATGGGAAATGAAGAAAAACTTTAATAAGTTTAACATAACAGCAAACGTACCTGATGATGACAAAACCTTGTGGAAACGTTGTACGTTTGCTGTTAAACTTATATTAAAGTTTTTCTTCATTACCCATTCAAGCCGTCTCCAACCATTATTAGCCTCAAAGTGGGTTCCTCGTCATCGAATTCTAACTATAAGATACTTTAACTATTATGTGATAATAAAGTAGCACAGCGGTATTTCTGCGGACTTACAACGTTAGATTCCGGGTTTCGATACTCTTGGTGGGCAGAGCACAGATAGTCCATTGGGTAGCTTTATGCTTAATTACAAACAAACATATAACCAAAAGCTAAGAAAAAAATAACAGATTTAAACGTTAACAATATAAATTAATGTATTGTTACGACAGCGGAAGTCACGCGACGCTGGTAACACGTGACGAGTTTCTTGAAGGATCGGGGGAACATCACGAATAATCCAATATTTGCTAGACGCAGTGTTATTTCGATGGCATTTCTTAATCTTTCTAAATATCCTGTGTAAAATTCTTAAAAGTGACTGATCTCCAGACAATAGTACAATGGCCTAGTAGTAATTTCAGTTCTCTATAGAACATTAGTAATGATTGTGTGTTGCCAGTAGCTTCATGTATTGATGTACGATAACTCATCAGTAATGTTCAGTGAAAAGTCTTGTTAGCACGTTCTTTAATGTTTATTCATACTTGTGTGTGTGTGTGTGTGTGTGTTTTCTTATAGCAGAGCCAGATCAGGCTATCTGCTGTATCCACTGAGGGGAATCGAACTTCTGATAAAAGCACTGTAAATCCAAGACTTACCACTGTTCCACCAGGTGATTTGATTTAACAGGGTATGGTTGTATATGGACCATATGTAATTTAAAAACTTTCATTCAGATGTTTATTCACTGGATATATATGTGTGTTTTTGTTTAAACAACCATTTTCGAGTAATTATCTTTCAGATTCTGATCATCGTCAGTATAATTGGATGACACAGCACATTCATCTCATTCCATGGAAATCTGATAGTGTCAACTATCCCTACCTGTGGAGTGTGGCTAGATTATTGAGAGAGGACTTTACCAACGTTTATACATGGGAAGAGAGAAAGTCGATATATTGAGAGTCTGTTGAAAATTCTTTGTTGCAATCTGGAATTGTTGAGATGCCCCAAGGTTAATTAACTTCCAGAATCGACTCTGTCCTGTCCATTTCATATTAACAATTATTATCACTGTAGTGTGAAAAATATAGATCTTATATCTAAATGGATGTATAAATAAATAGTTTTTACATGTTGTACTCACAATCTCTTTTCATTTATTCATCATGACACTTAGAATTAAACAACATCAAAAGTTGCTCTGTGCATTACCTAAAGCTACATGTAAACAGATTAAACGAATAATTGACAGAGCTAAAAATGGATTTATTTTGAGTACTTGTGAATGTGCTTTGAACATACAAAAGCAGAAACATAAATGATACAAGTCATTATTGAGAGTGTTGGTTGTCAAGAAAATATGAGATAGAAAATGGATGGATAAACAGTAAGTCATTCACTTATTATTTTTAGTTGTAGCAAAATTAATTACTACACACCTTAAAATATGCAGAATATTGGTTTTAATATAATTAAATCTAGACATTGATCATATGTGGAAGTGTAGTGTCCACGTTTGTAAAACTCGCATAAGATAAAATGGTGTTACCATAGCATGTGGTCTACAAAGATATTTACACTATAGCTTGTGGTCTACATAGATACCATTTTAACTTTTCGTTATTTGCAATTGGCAACTTTTATTATAACTATCACTTTTAAATGAATAATCTACAGAATACCATTACATAACATTTTGGGGGCAAATATAATCAGAATGAAATAAATTCCAACAATCAAAACTAGCACAACTATAACCTAAATTGAAGGACCTTTTTTTAAACATACAACTTATTAAATTATTATTATTTGTTGAAAAAACGTGGATAGATATAAATTATTTCCCAAGAAATTATGTTTAGTGAATCATTAAAATGGTGATGATGATAGTATTTATGTAGAACACACACTATAGTGTAAATATCTTTGTAAACTGCATGATATAGTAGCACCAATAAAACTATAAAAGTATGATATGTAAAATGAAATATTTTGTCTTGCATATTAAATTAGTACCAAAAATCTTTGAAATAATCACTTGATTTATAAAGAGTCAAATAGTAAGTTTTGATTATTTTATGATATCGCCATTTTAGGATGTTTTAAATATAAATGGTCAGGAAATGTAATTAAATGTAGTACAAATAATTTAGTGTTAAGCGTTCTTTTTCAGGACATATAAGTTGTCAGGAAATGTAAGTAACTATTAAATTAGTTATAAGCACCCCTTTTAGGATGATTCCAAAATAAATATCAAGAAATGTAATTAATTAATGAGTTAGTGTTTTATACCAACTATATTAATTATAGTCATGTTGATCAAATTTATGCTGGTCCCACTTTGTGGAACTATGACGTCTTGGTCGCCTGTCATGGTAGCCAAAAAACACATTCTCTGTTTTCGTTGAACTATTATGCTATAGCCATCTGTTTGGTATCGTCATGGCGGCCTAGCAATGCATCCTTAACAATGTGTTATCTGGTGACAATTTGTGGAACTATGATTTCATCATCTTTGATGGCATATTCCCTCCCCTTCCCTGGGTCCGACACACGTGTGGCGCCCTCTTGAGGCATATCATGCAGGTGGGATCCTAACTACTATTATTTTGTTCAGAAAAACACATCATATCTTCTTCTCTTTTACAATTATATAGAATATCATCAACATATCTCCAGCAGAAAAGTAGTGGAAACATAACTTTATTAATAGTCTTTGTCTCTATTCTCTAGGACGTAATTGCCCCATCAGAATCTGATGGTAACTGCTCTTGGTGGTGAGGCATCCTCCAACAGGGCATCTTAAGAGGGGCAACCAATGTCAATTTATCTGCTGATTCTACTTCTTCTCTGTTAGTGTTGTGTCCATTAGTGGCTGTGGCTGAGGAACTGGCTTGACACAACCACTGATGAGATTGTTATCTGCAATGTGATACCTGGTGTTGTTAAGGGTATTTTATCTGACTAAGAAAGCCCAAACCCTAAAGATCTTAAAGCCAGTCCAACCACCAATGCATTCTTACATTCACTGCATCAGTCAGCAATGCATATTCACGATATTGACAAGCTAGAATATAAAATACCTCTTATCTTTTCTATTTTCTGAAATATTATTATATTTAGTAAATCAACCAAGGTGGCCCCTCCAAACTCTTACATTTTTGGAAATACTTGCTCACTGCCCTACAAAGCAATGTAAACATTATTAATATCAAAAATATAAAAAACCTTGTACATTGTCATGTGTGATGAGTCAGATACATTTCACATAAGTTGGTATTTTAAACCTGAATGGCACCTTATGCGCACGTGGGTAAAACGGTCTCGGTCAAAGGCTTTTGAAGTTCAGCTGTAGAAGTTCCTAATTTTGAACTATTGATTAGAGGGAAGACAACCATCAGTCACACCCGCCGCCACAAGGGCTTTGTCCAGGACTGTGAACCGAACATAGGGATTCATTATCATTTTTATAGTATTGTTGCGTCAGCGAGGTCACGTGACTAGTATCACGCCATTCCTTCTCTCGAACCTTCGT